GAGGTGAGGGAGAAGCAATCTACCACCATGTTTGTTTTATGGCCTCTCTTTTCTGCAAAGCAAGCTGGTTAAAACAACAGGATTTAATTTCCAGATTGCTAGGGCAGCTGAAGGCGAATGTGGGGTACTCTTTTCTTTTTATCTTCCCCATTCCCTCCCTCCCTTCAAGTTCCTGTAGGTATTTCTCTTTGCCACTGTGCTGTTCGACTTACTGGCCTAAAATATTGCAGGTGATTTATAGAACTTGATGGGTATTGTATGGCTGATGATTCATGGAACTTCATTAAATACCAAGGAGGTGCCTGCTTACTGTCTGTGTGCACTGCACATGAGAACTTTAGCACTCCCCCTTTGCAAATTACCCCCATTAAAGTCCCAGACAAAGGTCCTCTCAGTAGCTTACATATTTTCCCACATGCGAGGGAGCAATTGGAAACTTCCTCTTGATAACTAAAAACTTTTGAATGAGAATTTATGAGAAGGGTCTTTTGGCCTCATTGCCTCAGGGTTGAAACAGATCCCAGGGTGTACAAGCGCTCCTTTGATGCAGGGAGCTGCACTGGGTAACATTTTTGAACAGGATCAAAAAGAGTAACGCGGGGACAATGTGTAGGAGCCCTTTCCCTGTCTCAAGGAGTCAAGTCTATTTCACAACACACACCCCTCCCAAAGCTGAAAATATAGAAATCCACATTTGACTGTAGTAACAAGCTGTATTTTCTTTTTAAATGTAGTCAAATCTTAAGATTTTTCTAAGTAGCGGGAGGTATTACAACTTCCTTTTCTTTAGGGTCCTGACTTTGAAGTTATAATTGCTTTTTGTGGGGGAGGGCAGAGGGAGAGGGAGAGAGAGAGAGAGAGAGAGAGAGAGAAAGAGCTTGTTCAATATGTACTTAAAGAAAGTAAATTAAAGTCTGATGGACCTAATCCTCACAAGTTACTGTATGGACCCCTTTTGAGAAAACATTTTTAAAAGCTTAATTTTCTTTCCCAGGGGTTTCCTGTTTGAAAATTACCCAAGGATCATAATCAGAATGGAGATCCTTGTTCATAAAAGTTTGAAATAGATGCATGAACAGTATGCTATAAGCCTCTCCAGTTTTGCTGACGATTTTTTCCTTCTTTCTCTCATTCAGAAGAAGAAAGGGTACTCTCCATTTTATCAGTATGTGAGAAAATATGTACTGAGAAGAAGACATTTTATCTCCTCGGTTACAATTAGGAATTAGGAAATTAGGAAAAAGTTGCAAATTCAGAATAAAAAAAAAACTTTATACATCCCTTCTCTTCATTTTCATACTTTCAAGCAGAATGGGAGGATTCTGGAATGTTCAATATTGTGTGTTTTGTTACAACTCCTACGGGGAGTAGCCCGTTTGTTCTTAGTCCTCCTCTTCAGTCCTTGCACCTGCACTAAAATCATATTTTCTCCATGCAAGTCTGTTTTGCTGCTGGCAGGGAAAAATGACAGTGGATGAATTACTGCGAAATCATAGTTTGAGTCTTCTTCGTAAAAGTTCTGTTTAAAAAAGTTTTTTTCTTTTACTATTAAATTAAGTGAGATGAAAATTAATTAATTAATTGATTAATTAATTAATTAATTGATTAATTAAAATAATAATTCTCGCCTCCCAAAAAGAAGAAAAATAAGTAGCTAGAATTCTCGTGTGGTGTTCTAGCACTTTCATTAATTCTATGAAGGCCAAGGGCTGTGTGAAAGTATAACTTCTTCCTTCATTGTGCTGTTGTCTTTCTGATGAGCACCAGACTTCTTGGCTTCCATAGCTAAACTGAATCTCAAGGCAAGACATCCTGGTGGGTCAGGAAGCCTGGGAGAATGCAGAATAATGGAAAGATGTCTAATTGAAAAGAAAAACAACAACATCTACCAGTGACAAAATTAGACTAACTCTCCAAAGACAATCAGCAGATATTTGATGTTGCATTTTCACTAGTGATGATTTATGCTAGTTTCTTACATTCATTAACCCGTCAGATGACTTGTTTTATTTTTTTCTTTTGATTTTCATACTTAGGGTCCCAGGATGTTTGCTGATCTTTTTGAACTTTTGTTTCCTGTCTTTTCCTACTGAGTTTCACATTAGAGTAAGATAGGGTAAGCCATAGATTGTGGAAACTGAAGTGGCCTTATGTATTTAAATTGTTCTGATTTATTTAGCTGCAATGTCACTACTATGTAATGAATGCTTACTTACTTTTACATGAACAGCAATTTATCCAAAAAGAGATCTTACCACAATTATAAATATTTCTTTTTTCCTGGCATTCAGGAATCATTTCACTGAATACTCATGATGGTTTTGCTTTCTATAATGTCAACGTAAATACTACCGTGTGCTCAATATATATATTTTTCTTCTCTGTGGTTTGGTGTTATTTTTGTTCCTTCTGATGCTCTGATTATTCTGCTGTTGCCTCTCTGTGATTCACATTCTTGCCTTTTGGGTTGGTTTTGTTAAATCTGAAGTACTTGAATGTGATTTTTTAAAAATTTGCTTTTATAATATGGTTATGAACAAACTAACTGATTATCGTGAATGATGACAGTGACGTTTATTCAGTTCACATTGATGGAACTTCTCAGATCTACACATGATTTAGAACATATCTTTCTATTGCCCTCTTTTACAGATTTGGAGCTGCACATTTTTTTAAAAAATGTTATTAAAAATTTAATGATGAAATTAATGCAGAATAAGTGGGCTTGCCCACCACCACCCAAAAAAAAAAAAATCTGGCCTTTCCACAGGACTCACCTATGATTATGTTCAACTAAAGGAAGAAATGTGTATATGTAGAATAAGGCAGAAGTTACAATAGAATGGCCAGGCACTCCTAAGTGAGGGGAGGGGGCAAGTTGAGAAGAAAGGAGCCCTAATAAAGATTTTGAGGGTATAGATAACCACTCAGAATGCAATGTGAGATGACAGGCAGGGAGTCTGGTCAATTGGTCTCCCAATTCGCCTCATGAACCAGGTACCTCCATGGTCTTTCCATCCAACTACTGTCTGCCCTCTGTACAGTTTCTTCCCAGGCCTTGGTGCTACTCTAGTATGCTTCTGCATGTCCATGTTCTGTTGGCAAAACAACCTGTGCATCTTTCTGTCGGGTGAGCCTCACAGATCAGCCACCTCTAGAGCAGTGTTCCTCAACCTCAACAACTTTAAAATGTAAGGACTTCAAATCCCAGATTTCCTCAGACAGAGTGCTGGCTAGGGAATTCTGGAACTGAAATCCATGCATCTTAAAGTCACCAAGGCCGAAAGAAACTGTTCTAGAGTCATCTTCCTACAGGTTATTCTGCCCACAAATAACTCCTCTGATCTTTTTGCTGCTGGCTTTGAGTCCAATTCTTCTCTATATCTGTCAGCTCCTGATCTTGCCATTTCCATGGCTTTTTGCTCCCTTCATAGACCAGCAATTCAGCTTTGTGATGCTCTCCTCCTCATTCATAGCTCTTCATGACACTTTCCTCTCCATTCATAGCTTTTCGTGACTCCAGAATGGAGCCCAATGGAGATAGCTGGTGTATTTGATTGTCTTGTAATGTTATTCTTGGTCTCAGGAATGGTCAGAGTGACCCCTGCTTCACCATCTGGACCTCACATAATTGGAGATCTCCACAATAAAGGAAAAAAGAATGCCAGCTCCATTTAAGACTTCTACCCTCCGGTTATTTTCTCCTGTTTTATGGCTACCTGAGATTATTATGACCATATGCAGGGCATAAAACTTAGAAATTAGTAACATTGTTCCCATTCCTGCAGTCATCACATGGTTTTAATGAAGACAGCATGATCTCATAGAGCTTTCTTTTTGGGTTGGATCAGGAATAGATGCTTCATTCCGTATAGTAGCAATACATTCCTGTAATATTACTAGACATATTTTTTCCAAGGAGTAAAGAATCAGTTATACATTGAATTTGTTGCTATGAGTTTCACTCATTTTCATTGCCCTAAGTCATAACTCCATTCTCTAGTTTTCCTAAAAAAAAAAAAAAAAAAAAGGCCTTGAAGTCATGGGCCCAGCTAATGCTTATCATGTACCTTACTGGGGAAAAATAGTATAATGCTGTGAGTTGGAATGACTTGTCTTCAGAAGGATGCTCCAATAGTGGAGATTTTTAAGAAGAGATTGGACAACCATTTGTCTGAAATGGTTTCGTGCTTGATCAGGAGGTTGGATTAGAAGACCTCCAAGGTCCCTTCCAACTCTGTTATTCTGTCAATACATTTATCCCTTCGCCTAGTTTTATGAATAATGCACTGAAACATGGCTCATATCATTTAAAACTTGATTACTGGCACATAGATGCCATGTCTTTTTTAGGTTTTGTACTGCAAGCTAAGATTTGTGCAAAAATACAGGACATGTTAGTGCAAACTAAACAGATGTTAAAACTTTTTGTTGATATTGGAAACAGAAAAAAGTCATTTATCGAAGTAAGACATGTAAGGCCCATAGATTTTGGCTGGCCTCCCCATGCCGTTACATCAGCTAATAAGAGTAGTCTTTTATAGCATTATTGACAGTTTATAACAAAGGAGCTGTGCCTATGGAGTGAGTTGCCTGGGGTGCAATTATTTGTTTTGATTCTGCTGATACTTAATTTTAAGTAGTAGGCAACTACTATTCTTAGGCTTCTTGAAGTTATCTAAACAAGAAGAATTTTGACAAGTATGATCTATATATTTCTTTCTTCAAATATTTGTGTTTTGTTCATTTTCCAAGAGGCATTCTTGGCAAATATGTTATCATATGAAAAATGTAAACTAATTAATATTAAAAGATTATTCTTACAGTGGTGATAATATATATATATATATTAGTAGAAGAATTATTGCTATTTAGCCTGACTGATTGTTCTGCATTGGAATGGGGACCTTTTTCATACACAGGTTTCTGACCCAGCAGAACCCTAGTGGACTCAGAAGGGAGACAATCTTCACTGATTCTTCATCTCTTTGTAATTCTAGATGGATCTGAAAATCTGCTCCAAGAGTGTTGGAGATGTCTGGAATAAAATGGTCAAGAGGGCTGCAGAACAAGAAGGAATCAATGAGAATTCAGCAGGATTTTGTACAAGTTGTGGTCTTCCAGGTAAGTAGACATTTTGACTCCAACTTGTAGTTTTGAATCTATTCCTTTTTTCCGCTGATTTTATAGATTTTTATGTCCATAACTGGTGGAGATCATAATGGGTTTCACACTTTAGAGTTCATAAAAGATGAAAGAGCTATATTGAGTCTTTAGTCCAGCTAAACTTTTGAATTTAACAGAAAAGTGTTTGAGAAGTGTTTGCTTCTGTTACTTGACTGCTTTCTGATTTTATTACTTGGTTGCTTGACTGTTATTTTCCAAAGATTGGCTCACCAAAAATAATCTAGGATTCTACACATATAAATTGCATTGATATGATTTATTCCAGGATATTTTTAATTGAATATTGATTATTGTCCTTGTTTTTATCATTTCTCAATTCATTTTTTTCTTTGATTTTAAACAGCTTTCTATTTAAGATTGTTATATATTTGTAGGTTTGATTTATATTTTATGTTTCTGCTCAAATGAATAGAGAAAACTGGCTAAAGAATTCTTAAATTAAAATTAATTTAATCGGTACTTAATGAGTACAAAATTTCATAATTTTTCATTGCCTGATGAAGTCATACATGTGACAACACTCTAGCTTCTAGCAGATTATTATTATTAAATTTATGTGCCATCTATCTAGACATAGGGCTACTCTAGAAGTCTATATTTATCGACTATGGTTTCCTTACCTAGGGAATAGTTTGCATTTTATGAGACAGATACATGTGGAAGCTATATTGCTTCAGTTAATCAAATCTATATTGAAACCTTAAAAATCTTGGACTATAAACAGCAATTGTCTGTGATGTCAAATCTCAATTGGATTTATTTTCTTGATAGAATTCTGGAAATGTCTGGGCCATAAAATGAGATGGTTTTTAATCAACCACATCATGTCTATGCTGCCTTTTCTTCTATTTGGTTCACATCATGCCATTCAAATCAGCTCACTTTTGTTTAGACAAAGCCAACTGATCCCTCAGGCATTTAGATAAAATATATCAGGAATGTACATTTGTACATGGGTAGAATTCTGGACATTTATGTGTAAATCAGACTTCTCATCTTGGACTGCAACTTAGCCAGTTTGGCCTTTGGTTACAAATCATTGATTATAAAGGGCCCTGGCAAAGAATCACTTTATGGTAAATTAAATGTTATATTCATGAAGTTAAACGAGTGCAATGTAAAATGGTATGTTTGTCGAAATAGCGTATTAATGCTGATCCACAACAGCCTTGCTTTTGAGCATTTGAGTAACTCAATAAGATTGTGTGCTACCTGCTTATTTTTAAAACTCACTTTTGATTTTAACAAACATTTGCATATATTTAAATCAAGACACATACAAATTGCAGCGATGCATCAGACATTTCCATAATTTTTTCTTTGTTTCTCTAAAGGAATCTAAGGCTGCGGTGAAGAACATAGGAAGGGATGCTTTTTCTTTGTCTCATTCATTAAAAAACAAAACAAAACCCTGGGCTTTGTTAAATGTGAGCCTAGTAGATGCGGAACAAGGGTAGGGCAGGGAGAAGACCTTAGATTGCTGGGGGCAGAATGTCAAGACTTATGGGCTCTTCCACTTGAATGAAGTTGAGAAAATGAATTGTTATCGTGGCTGCTCTTTTCACAGCCAGCTTCAGGGCATAGTGGACCATGAAAATGAACCTTCTGTCTGGTAAATTGATGCACTGCCTCCATGACAGCAGCGAATTTGAGGTGCAAGGTCTTTGCTTCTTCCAGCTGCAAACTTGGATCATTTCACATTCCATACAGCTTGACACTGGGGAAAGGGAGATTTTTTCAGGATAAGACATATTTCACTGAAAATCCTCTTGAAATCTGGCAAAGTCGGTTTCAAAAGTTTAAGGTCTGCTGCTGAAGGTCAGAGCAACCCTTTTGAAGCTGCCAAATTCTCTGCTTCTGAATGAGATATTCCATGTGCTTGGCTTTCACTGGTTTTTTTTTTCCTGAAACGAAGTGAATGCATGGGGGTGGGGTGGGGGGGAAGGAGAGTTCTCCACACACATCTCATCCAACAATAATGGTGCTATACATCTTATTTCTACCTATTTGAAAGAGAAGGGGAGTAACCTAGCTACGGGCAGCGCTGTCATCAATGGACAAGGATTGTTCCAAAATGGTGTAAACAGATGATGAAACTGAGTAGTTACTGTCATTATGATATCACATACGTAGAGCCCCTTCAAAATTCCTGTGAATTATGTTTACTTCAATTGAAGAATGCAGCAGTCCTATTGGAAGGAGGTTGGAAATCGCAGCAGGCGATTGCGTACTCTGAAAGCTGAAAAATGCAAATTCCCCACCATGAATGGGATAACCTAGCCATGCAACTCAGTTGTTTAAAGGAAATACTTTTCTGTTACAATTTCAACTCAGTACTAATGCCGCTGACCAGAATACCAAATGGTAAATGTAAAGAAGTTCCTTGATTAGACTTTAAATCTTTACCAAGAGTTAGAATGTGTGAGAAACAAAAATTGTGTAGATAGATCACAAGGTCGATAAAGTTTTCCATATAGCAAGATGCTCACTTACATTGCTGTACTGGTGAAAAGACATTACAGTTCACAGACATAATTTGATGGCCCGATTTTGACACCATGGTATGGATTCTTATCTGCTAGTAGTATAATGATGGTAGGAAGTTGCTTCCATATGCTTTGTGCAATCCCACTATTTTGACAGAGTTTGGAAAATGCAGGGTCAGATATCATCATCTTCACCATCCTCCTGTGTTTATCAACTATTTCTCCTTTCATCTTTTCATTGAAGAGATAAATTCATTTAAGGGATAACATTGGAACTTTTGCAGAATGTCTAGAGTGTTACAGATCTTCTGCTTTTCAATGTATAGATATTTTGGTATGCAGGGGTTCCTAAGATGATCTGGGTGGTTGGGGAAGACAAATGGACCGATGGCTTTGAACTAAATGTTTGGATGTTAAAATGATCTCACAGCTCAATCATTGGATTAGGAAATGACTGCCTTAATAGGAAATGCTAAGAACAAGAATAATAAAGGGGCTGTGCTTAGCAAGTACAGGGAAGGTCCTTTAGGCATAGAAAGATACTGGATAATGAATGAACATAACATAGTATTGACAGCTCTAAATAGAAGAGCCCATCTTGTAAATTAAGATGAGGAGGGGCTGTTGTCCAGTAATGCAAATTGTAGCCCGGTGAATAAAGCAGATTAAGGATTCAGGAAAGGACATGTTGGGTCTCATTATAAAGAGGCCAGATTTGCCTGTCCTTTTCCTACACCACTTAACTAGGCACATACATTCAAATGCTATTTAGATGCAGGGGTGGGAGAGGAGAGGGAGGGAGGGAAGCAGAGAGAGAGAGGGAGGACAAAAGGCTTTCCTTGACAAAGGAAATGATACATAATGTAGAGGATGTAACATTATTATATTAGATTTTGTACTGAATACAGAATTTGTATTGACATTTTAAGCTTTGCATATCTTAAAATTAGAATATATGAAGTTCATTTTTTGATCGCATACAATCCCCCCCCCCAAACACAACCTACTGCTGGAACTGAAAATAATTTTAAAAAATAATCATGTTATCAAAAGGTTACAGCTTTCTCAAATATAGAAACCAACTCAATTTGAAAACAGGCTGCAATGCTATGAAATCAGGGACAAAAAGAAAAAAAAGAGAATTGGAATTATATTATTTTAGGAAAAAAAATGAATGTTCCATTTAGCACATGAATTATTTATTTGGAAATTCACCTTATTTGCATTGTCTGGTCAGACTTCATTTCTGGAATGATAGACCAGTTTACTTATACAAATCTACATATAATTATTTTTATGGAATTTATTATTCATTGGATTCATATCCAAACTTTCCTCTAGAAGCACATCTTTCTAAATTGATTCACAAATTCTACCTTCAAGATTCATAGTTGGTTCACCCATGCATCAAGAGTGAACTCCCAAGAACCTATAAACCTTTTCCTCTAATACTAAGCAATTACTCTCATTTCCAGGTTGAGAAGCAATTCACTTGCACACAACCACCTTACATGATTTGGGTTCAATTATTGTGTCTCGTCCAATCATCCCTGTACTCAAATGCACCTCTCCTGATACAGATGTAACAGGAAACGTAGCTGGATATCATCAGTATATTGGTGACAACTTATCCTAAATCTCATAATGACCCCATCCAATATTTTCTTATAAATATTATATTGAACTGGAGGCAGGACTGCCATGGGTTCAAATCTACAGTTTCCTGAACATACTGCACTCTCCTTTAAGAACTATGTTTGGCTACTCAAGAAAATACAGTGTGCTAATATGTTAAAGCCACAGCATTTTGAGCTGTACATAGGACTGACACAATCTGTGGTCATCGCAGGATGGTGCATAGAAAGGTAACAAAGAAGCAAACCACATGCTAAACACATTCACACACTTGCTTCTCTCTCTCTCTCTCCCTCCCTTCCTCCCTCCCTCCCTCTCTCTCCCCCTCTCTTTCTCTCCCACCTCCCCAGTAAGATCTAGTAAAGATATTGTGAGAAACTTGCTCCAGCTGGTGAATACTTCAAACTATTTTGCATTTCTAAAAGTCCATTGGATTGAATGAAGCTGACTATGTTTACGTACACCTTTAAGCAATAATACCTTGCACTCCTTATATCACTCTAAAAGCTGAACTATACCAGTTGCAACATTGCCCTCCTTATTTTTTTTAATCACACATCTACAATTGCATGTGTGAACAGCTGCATTCCTTTCCCCCTGCATTCCTTGAAAACAAAATCTGCCTGTCCTCTCCTCCACTTCCCCCTCCCATCCATTCCTTTTAAACAAAGCTAACCATTCCTGTCCCCCCCCCCTCATCTGAGTTAAATACCAGGGTATCCGTTTCGGCAGGCATCTAAGCTCAATCTAATCAAGCGGTGTCACAATTCTGTCAAGGCAGGTTGCTCTCTCTTTGGCCTTGAATAATTGGAAGAA